ATATTGATCATACCTTTGAAACACTTTCAACAAAAAGACTCCAGGCCTACATGGTTTTACTTCTACCAAACATTCAGAAGAGAGCAGACACTAATTCTACTCAAAGTGGGTTCATTGAAAGAATTAATAATGTTGGCAAACCACTGGCAAATCTAAGAAAAGAAAAAAAAAAAAAGGAGAACATGGAAATAACACAAATGTTCTGATGTGGCACAATATGATAAACACTGCACTGCCAACCTTTTGGAGAGCAGTCCAGTGTTTATCATATTGCACCACATCAGAACTTCTTTATAGTATTATGTTATCTTATTTATTTCTGTTGTGATGCTGCCAGTTTCATTTCTCATTTGTGTTATTTCCATAGTCTCTTTTTTTTTTTCTTTTGTTAGATTTGCCAGTGGTTTGCCAACATTATTAATTCTTTCAGTGAACCAACTTCTTCATTCCTTTGCTTCCCTCTGTTTTTTCATTTATTTCTGCTCCAATCTTTTTATTACCTTTTTTTTTTCTGTCAGCTATAGGCAGTTCTAACATGTACTATGGGGCAGTTCTAACAGGGTTGCTATGAGTCAAATTGACTCAGTGGCAATGGGTTTGGGGAGATTTATGAATTGGGATAATGTCTACACTTTTTGTCATTGTTTCCTACCTTTACTTCTTCTCTTTTTCCACATACTATGGTTTTATCCGACTATTTATATTCCATTTCACCTACTCTCTTAGCAGATTAATTTTACTTATTTTTATATCTATTTTTAGAATTTTCCTAACATTTGAAATATACATTTGCAACACATATAAGTTCATCTTAAATAATATTATATAGTTTCATATATAATACAAGTACCTTATAAAAGTATTACCCATTCTTATTTCTCATCCCTTCTGATATTTCTGTTTTAATCACTAAATACATTGGTCATTTCTTCATTCCTTTAAACTAACAGTTATCATTTAGATCAGTTAAAAGATGTATACGGTTTTAGTGCCTTCCTTGCCCCTCCCACTCTTCCTTAAACTTCTTGTATTCAAGTATGTGTTACAACTTTTGATATTATCCCACAGTTCTTGGATGATTTTCTCTGTGCTTCTTTTCTTTTGTTTTTTTTCCATTTATTTTCTATTATTTTCTTTCATATCCTCTAACTTTTTGGTTTGGGAAGTTTCTATTTGCAAGCTCAATAAAACTTTAGAATTTTCAAAGAAGTTTCTGTCTTTAAGCTCACAAAGATTCTTTCTTGGCCATGTCCACTCTACTGATGAGCCCATCAGATACATTCTTCATTTCTGTTGCAGTATTTTTAATTTCTAGAATCAACTCTTGATTTCTTCTTAGAGTTTCCATCTCTCTGTGTTCTTATATGTTGTGTAATTATTTCATTAGCATTCTTAACATAGCAATCACAGGATTTAACATTTCCTGCCTAGTAATTTCAATATCTATGCCATAACTGAATGTGACTCTAATATTTTATTTGTCTCTTCAGATTGTATTTTTTCTTGACTTTTGGCATGCAAGATAATGTACTGGACCACAAGGTCAGTTTGAATCACAAGGTCAGTGGTTCAAACTCACTAGCCGCTTCTTGGAAAATCCTAGACAGAGTTGCTGTAAGTCAGAACCAATTCAATGACACTTAACAACAACACAGGGTCCTGGTTTGGTGCTGTGGGATATAGCACTGGACCACAAAGTCAGTTTGAACCACAAGGTCAGTGGTTCAAACTCACCAGCTATTCCTTGGAAACCCTATACAGGGTCACTATGAGTTAGAACTGAAGGATGGCACTTAACAACAACAACATGTAAAGGTCATTGGTATGAGGTTTTTAGGAGTCCCTAGATGGCACAAGTAATTAAATGCTCAAGTAACCAAAGGTTGGCAGATTGAACTAACTGAAGCATGTCTTGGAAGAGACACCAGGTTCTTTAGTTTGGAAAAATCAACTATTGAAACCCCTATGAAGCATAGTTCTACTGCACGTACACGGAGTCACCATGAGTCAGAGACAACTGTGGGAAAACTCATTTCATGTGGTTGTAGTTTGCTTTGGTATATGGTGGGCCCTGGTGTAATGCTGTAGAATAAGTACTGGGCTGCTAATTGCAATGTTGACAGTTCAACCCCACCAGAAACTCTTGAAAACTCCATGCAGGTTCCTTATATATTTGCCATCAAGAGCCATGGTAGCATAGTTGTTACCAGTTGGACTGCTAACCCCATAGTCAGCAATTTGAAACTAACAGTTGTTCTGTTGAAGAAAGCTGAAGCTTTTGATCCCGTAAAGATTTACAGCATTGGAAACCCTATAGAGGGTCACTGTGAGTCAGAACCAACTCAATAGCATGCCACGATCGCCGCCACCACCATGTTTGCTATAGCTGTAGGTGCTAGAGACTAAAATTCCTAGGGTGTTTTTGTTTATGTCTTCACTGTTGCCTTTGGGATTTCCTAGCATTCCTCCTAAACAATATCTGTATCTGGCTTATTTTTCAGCAGTAGTCTACTGCTATTATACTGAAGCTTTCTTGATATGCTGGATTCAGAATGGGGTAAGCATTTAGTAATGATTAAACTTCAGTATTATACTTGGACTACACCCCTTGTATGCGACTTTGAATGTGACTTTCATAATTGTTTTCCAGCTTTTATTTACCCACTTTAAGTGAGATAGGAAAGCTACGTGAGGATATACTAGGTTAGTTGTTCTTTCTCTTCTTGATGTTAGGTGCCATTGAGTCAATTCTGTCTCAGTGCAAACCTGTTTAAGATTTCCATGGAGCAGCTGGTTGATTTGAGCCACTGACCTTTGATTAGCAGTTCAGTGCTTATCCTACAGCTCCACACCTGGACTCCATTCTTCCCTCCATATTAGAAAACTAAACGCCAAATCACATTTACTTCCATCAAGTTGATTCTGAACCATGTTGTTGCCAAATGCCATTAAGTTGGCTCCAACTCACTGTGATAGCATTTCTGAGACTTTCAATCTTTATGGGAGCAAACAGTCTAATCTTTCTTCCATAGAATAGCTTACTGGTTTCATCAGTTATCTGTGTGTTTAGTAGCCTAAAGCCTAGCCCGCATCACCACCAGGACTCCTTAAGTATGATAAAACTCTGGCAAGGTCTTTTCCCTCAGGAAGCAATGCCATCCTTTTGGAGAACCCTCTGAACAGATTTTAAAATGGTTAAGTTTCCCAGCATCATGAAAGTACCTTTCTTGGTGCCTCACCATGAGAACCCTGTTAGACTTTGAGGGTAAAACTAACAAAACTGTGGGAACCTTCCTAAAACTCTGGACTCTGGTAAGAAGTTTCTCCTTACTAATTCACAATGAATGTACAGAAATTGGTTAAAATTACCATTTACCTCTTGCTAAAAAGGTATGATTCTAGAAGCTTTTGCTTGAAGTAAGCAGACCTCAGCTAGGATACTTGATATTCAACTGTCTCTGAAGATATCAAGAAGTTTTCCCTGTGACCTAAATTGTCTGATGAATA